TCCCCTATTCCCTGGAGGAGAGCTGGGGTGGAGGCTGCAACCCAGGATCATCAGGGGAACTGAGGTCTTCAAGGCTCCTAGGGACTCCTTAAGGGGGGATCGGAGTGGCTTCGGGGGTCTTATTGCTCAGTCCAGACAGAAGATGTTTCCAGTTGGGGAAAATGACTTCAGGGACAACAAGGACAGAGATTCACTTCTCGGGACACCGGTGGTTGATGTGCCTGGAGTGCTCCCCACACCAGCAGCGGAGAGAGTCCTGGAGAGAGGAAGTTCTAGGTGTCACCTCGATTTGAGGCCTCAGGGCCTGTATCAGGGGCAGGTGATGTCACAGTGAGTTGATGCTCCGCAACCCCTTCCCTAGGAGGTGGCAGAGGGAAGAGCAGGTGGTCATCTGGGGTGTGAGTGAGTTCAATCCTGAGGGTCTTCCCAAGCCGGAGGTCCCTGGGTGTAGAGGAAAGAGATTCTGGTCAGACAGGCCTGGTGTTGAATCCTGGTCCGTTTATTCATTTGGTCAAGAAATATTCATGGAGGACCCACTATGTTCCAGGTGCCAAGCCAGGTGACTGGGACACACTGTTGAGAGGGACAGTTGGCCCCTTCACTGCTAGAGGTTTGATATTCTCAAGCCAGGACTCAGGGCTCTGCAATTGTGTGTCAAGTATATAGCCCCTGCGTGCATGTCTCCAGAGACTGGTTTCCTGGAGTTCCAAGTGATAGCCATCACTCACCTTGAACACAAAAGTTAAAGGAGCATCCAAAAATGTGGTGACCAGATAAATAATGCAATATTTTCAAAAATAGAAATTAATGCCCAAAAAACCCACAATGAACAACATTTCAGGATCTGACCCACTCACCTCAGTGGTTTCCCTCTTAGTCCTACCCACAGTCCCACAGGAGAGTGGGCACCCACGGAGATGCAAAACCAGAGTCAGGCCCCTGCACCCTCTTCTGCCCCGCCACCAGAGCCCTCCCCTGGGTCTCCGCCTCCCTCTTCTGAAGAGCTCCGGCCGGGTCCTGCTCCTCTACTGCTGGTCTCTGCTGCCCCCTACTGGACTCTTCCCTTACAGCTGCTCTCCAGGCAGCTGGTAGAGGTTAAAGAACAGAAACCTCCCAAAATTCCACCCTCCAATTCCAGGCTGGCTCCACCCCATGTCCAAAAAGGCTGGTTCTCCCAGGTTTCTGGCTGCTATTAGTAAAATCCCAGGACACAGTCTTCACACCAAGTTGCTGTGTGCCTCAGGCAAGAAACTATCCCTCTCTGAACCTCTGTTTCCACATCAGTAGAAGGAGCTAGAAGACTACCCTGCCAGGTTGGCGAGTCCAGTCTGTGACATCTACAAAGGGAGCAGGAATCTCTCCCATTTCCTGGAGGAGAGCTGGGGTGGAGGCTGCAACCCAGGACCACCAGAGGAGCTAGGGTCTTTGGGGTTCCTGGGGACTCCTCAGAGGGGGATCACAAGCTGCGGAGCCAGCTTCTAACTCTGAAGACTTAGAGGTCCAGAACCTCTGTCACATCCCCAGCCAATACTTTGTCATCCTGTGCCTCAGACTCCCCCAGATCCCAGCAGTGAGAAGCTCAAGATGAGACAAGAAAGACCAGCCAGCTGCAATTTAGGGATGATGGCAAGTGGGGAGGTGGGGACCCCTGGGTCTGGGAGAGAGAAGTCTACAGTGCCTGCAGATGGAGTTTCTGGGATCTGGGGGGTGGAGACTGGGCAGGGGACTGACCAGCAGGAATCCGGAATTGGGGACACCCTCAGACATGGAGCAGGGCAGAAGCCACTGGATGGGGTACACCCCTCTGCTTTGGGAGAGAAGGGCCAGGGCAGGACCCAGAGGGCTCTGCAGAGGCACTAGAGACCCTGAGCAGGGGGTCTGCCAAGCAGGACAGCTGGACTTGACCTCCCCTGCCAGACCTGGGTCCAGCCCTTGCACCTCTCAGTCCAGGAGGACATGGGGCAGGCCTGGGTGGCCAGAGCTGCAGCTGCACCTGCTGGGAAAGCCCAGTCTGGCCCTCCAGGGACCCAGCCAGACTCGGATTTCCGACTGCAGCCACCATGGGAGGATGTGGTCTGCGGTGGTGACGTCTGCCCAGCGGCCATGGCAGGTGCAGGGGTGGGGGTGGGGGCAGCAGCTGGGGATACTACATTTAGGGACAGCCCCTTTTTATCCCCAAGACCTGGGACTGTCCCTGGAAGGAACCACAGCTTCTGGGTCCTGAGCAATGGGTGAGTGTCATACTCACAGAGGGGCTGGGAAGGCACAGCTTCAGCCTAGACCCCCAGGGCAGACTCTGCCCCAGCCCCCAAAATGCAAGAAGCCCAAGATCAGAGGCAGGAATAGACCAAGATCCCCAGGGGAAGAGAAGCTGTGCTGGACCAGAGGTTTCCCAGGGGCCCCCCTTATGCCCTGAATAATGTAAGGCACCCCATTACTGCTCAGTGCCTTGCCCATCTCCAAGGACAGGGATGTGTGGTCATTGTTTATATAATCCAGCCCCTGGCACCTGGCCTCAGAGGTTGCCCAAGCAATGTGTATAAAGATCCAGCCTGGAGGGCTTTGAAAACTGATTTGATGAGTCGAACCATTAAGTCAGGGTCACCATCTTCAACTTCATCTCTTTCTTCCTCCCCCTTCTCATTATCATCACCATCAAGGACTGTGAAGAGTCTGGGACTTCACCCTATTTGCAGACTAAAAAGTAAGCCTGCCACAGTGTTATGGATGCTGGCAGAAGATGCGAGACTCCTGGGTCAGAGACAGCAGATAGTCTGTCTTTCACAAAAATAGCAGTTGCCAAGGTATTAGCACTGTCTTGCACCAGTTCCACGAGGTGATGCAAAGTAGGCCAGGCGACATCTGCATGCTAGAGCTCAGGGATCCCAAACATTTTATACTTGACAGTAAGCATATCTGCCTTCTGCTCCAAAGAGTGGCAGCCTCTGTACCTTCCAAGGTTGTTCACTCTAAAAACAGCCTTGAAAAGATCATCCACAACAAAGGCAATCAGTGCCTTTGCCCGAGAGACGTGCAGAAATGCAGAGATCCATAGTAGACAACTGCCTCCCAACAACCATCATCTTTATCAACGAAGTGAAGTCTGAGGCTATGTGAATGTTACCATCACCCACAAAAATGGCTGCCCTGATTGTCACCAAATTTATCAGGGAAATTAAGGAGTATCTGACTCAAAATGTGAACCAAGCAATTCTCAAGGGGGCCTCCCAGGAAATTCACTTTGGGAAGTTCTAGGAGGCTCCTTTGAGAGTTGCTAAAACAAAACATTGAGATCCGTAGAGGGCAGCAGATCTGAACGTGAGCAGATGTTTTTAGAGATTTTGTGGCAGAAAAAGTAACTGGAAAGCAAGAGGGCAGACCCTCACTGCATTTCCGTAAGGCGGCAGGGGAGGGGCCTTTCTCACCAGGGTATGGGGTCTTGAAGATCTCCTCAAACATTTTTATACTAGGCTCTCAGGGGCAACAGAAAAGATGAATGGGGGGTAAAGGAGTGCAAATGATGCAAGGGGCCACACAAAGCAAAAGAGTTTTGTTCAACCAGATCTAGTCCATGTTTAATTGAGCCGCTCCTTCGTGCTCCTCTGGGTTTGGAGTTTTCCTATGCACCAAGCAGCGTGTTACCACCTAGACCCAGAGAGCCATGTCTTCATCAGCAAAGTATGCCCTGGTATGCAAGAACCAGGCCTCAGATTCTGACTCTAGCCCTACTGCCTCTTGGCCCTGGACATTAAAAAGGTAGGGAATCAGGCTGGTAGCAGTGGCTCATGCCTGTAATC